AATGTCAAGAACTCGAACTTTATGGATTTCTTCAGTGTGTTTTGGAAAAAAGATTGACTCTGGTTACGATTAACATTAGCAAGTAATGGGATTAAAAACTAGCTCAAATACAAATGTGAAAATAAGGCTGAGCTACAGTAGCAAGAAATTAATTGAATGGTTCTTTGTCCTATGTCTTCTGGCAGAGAAAAACTATCAGCCTTCCAAAATACATTACTTGGTAGCTCCATAGTGCAGCTTTGACAGCAGTATCAAATGATTAACAAATTACCCAGCTGTGTTTATTACAATGCTGTGTTCTTTAACTGAAGAGAAGTTTAGGGTTAGCAGTTTTAATTGTCTAAAAAACTGGAGTTTTTCTGTCAGCAGTGCTAAAATACTCAGGAACAAGTTCTATGTTACTTCACAATCAAGCCTGAATTAGCAGGGGATCCATAAGACAAAGAAATAGGGATTTCCAGCAGTGATTTCTAGACTTTAGGCTTAAGGGCGTGATATACTTAAGGCGTGACAGAAGCAAGGGTTTGTGCAGTGAACTAGACTCCATGTATCTTCAGTTACATGCTCCCTTTATGGATGTTTTAGAGCAGTAAACAATCTTTCTTGTTTAGGCAAAAGGCATTTGCCACTGAACTATCAGCTATAAAATAATGACAGTTACAGCTATATAAAGTGCACAGCGGACTAGAACTTTTGAACATAAACCAGAAACTGATGAGGCTACTTCAAATCTAGTTTCCTAAATAAACATTATCAAAAAAGGCACTTTGATTAGATCCATCATTATACAGTAGGACCTCAGAGTAATGAACACCCTGGGAGTGGAGGTTGTTTATAACTCTGAACAAAAACATTATGGTGGTTCTTTCAGAAATTTACAACTGAACATTGACTTAATACAACTTTGAAACTTTACTATGCAGCTCAGAAATGCTGTTTTTAACCATCTTAATTTAAATGAAACAAGCACACAAACAGTTCCCTTACTTTGTCAAATTGTTTAACTTGCCTTTTTTTTTAGTAGTTTACATTCAACACAGTACTGTACTTGTTTTTTCCCCCCCCTCTCTGCTGCTACCTGATTGCATACTTCTGGTCCAAATGAGCTGTGTGGTTGACTGGTTAGTTCGTAACTCTGTGGTTCTACTGTATATATCCTGCTTTTCTAAAAATGTGTCCTATGTCAGCAAAAAAAACTATCGGTCTTTCAAAATTAGGCTGCTGTAGAGATAAAATGGCATCTGAGGGCCTTGCCAATAAAAGCCATATAGCCATAATAATGGAGGACATAAGTAGAGCCCCACAAATCTGCAGATATCCCCTTTATAGCTGTGGACCGTGTTTGCAGATTGGATGCAGATACAAGTTTTATATCCATGCAGGGCTCTACACATATGCACTCAGATACTGTGGTGCTAAGTACTCTAGAAATCCCCGTAAATGTAAATAATGAATGCATTTCACACTGACTTCACTTCCATTCCTGCTGGGTCCCTGTTAAGTGTCTCAGGGTTGAAATTCACAAAAGTTTTACTCTGATGCATTTCAATGTCATCACTTATGGAACATAGCAAAGGTTGCAAAAAGGGCTTTGTCACCGCAAAAGGGGTACTCTACTCACCGCTCAGTGGCTTCTGGCAATTCTGGGTATTAGCTCCGCCCAGGTCAGTGCCCCTTCCACCATTGCCGCTCTCCTGTCACTTATGGAATCGCTGTACAGCTGCTTCATGACTCAGCCTCCAGCCAGGTCAGGTCACATCCTGGTTCTACCTTCTAGGCAGGGCCGGCTCCAGGCACCAGCTGAGCAAGCTGGTGCTTGGGGCGGCAGCTTGTAGGAGGCGGCATTCCGCCCAATCCTAGGGCGGCACGGCCGCTTTTTTTTTTGGTTCCGCTCCGGTCGCCCTGTAGGGGGCAGCGGCGTGGAGGACGGGAGCGCCCTGCTGAAGCCCTGGCCGCCCCCCTTCTCTCTCTCTCCCCGCTCCCTCCCCCTCCCCCTGCTAGCCGGGGCACATCTGCAGGGCAGGGAGTCCCCCTGCACCCTGGCTCCGGCCACGCCGCAGGTTTTTTTTTTTTGCTTGGGGCGGCCAGAAAGCCAGAGCCGGCCCTGCTTCTAGGGGACTCTTTCAAAGTGTCTCTGCACAAGCAGCATCATTCAGTTCTCACGCCTGCTGTCCTAACTACATCACTCCCACAGTGACTCAGGCAGTCTTCCCATTCACTGCCCCAGCAATACCACTCTGCACTGGTTAGCCTAAATATGCCCTATTTGCAGCTTAATTGGATGCCTGAAGCTGCCTGGGGACAAGGCCACTCCCCACCATAAATCAGAATGTCTTAGATTCACTCAGCATCCTAAGGGGCCATTCTGACATGTGGGGATCCCCGAATTAGAGCTGTTCCAACCCTGCCACTTTATACAGAGTCATGCCTGAAAAGGTGAGTGGCATAGGAATGGTTATGGCAGCTTTATGCCACTCAGTGATTCTCACATGCTGGGGGAAGCCTCCACTGATATCAGCATTATGGCTGTTGCCCCACTCTGGCAGCCATAATGGGGCTATAGACTAGTATCTTTTGTTTTATTTTATTTTTTAACTTTTCAGTGCCCTGGTTGGGAAGGAATTCCAATCAGAGACTGGAAAGGTCTTTTCGGTCACCCCGTGTCCATTGCAGTTGTAAGAGCCTGTCTTAGGAGGCTGTTGTACAGTCTGACAGATCCCATTGTTTGGACGTTTTCCTGGTATTCAGCCAATCTTTTTTCCCTTTATTACATCTCATTATTACCTTTGCATATTACAGTCCTCCATTACCTCCCATAACTAAGGTCAGCATAGAGTTGACTTTGCGCAAGTGGCTGTAAATTACCTTTCTCTCCCCCTTCCTTTTTATTTACCCAAGCCCACCATTATGAAATTATGAATCGTGCCTAAATTTTAGGTCTAATTATTTAAAATGAGAAGTATTGTCAGTGGAAGAATACTTAATAATATATGGTATTTTACTGTCACTTGCACCAGTTAAGTTAGAAATTATTGTCTTAGGCAAAGTTCCTGCAACTGGCTCCAGGTGGGCGCTTTGAATGCATTTAATGAACTGTAACAAGGAATCCTGATCATTAGGCTCAGAGAGGAAGTGTAGCACATTAGAACATTCATGTTGTAATTCTAACATTTAATAAAAAGTACATGAATAAAAATAATTTTCCCTACATTTCACTGATGTGCATAATAGACTGGTAAATTTGACCAACTACTCTTGCACCAAATTAATATAAGACCAGTACATACAAACTGTATTTCATGAAAAAATATACATCCATTATTATGACTAGTCAAGACAAAATGGTGGTGTCTGTAAAAATATGGCGCTGAAGGTACCTATGAAACAAAGCGCACCTCAATATTGATGAACAATCCTTGGCCAATCTTTGGCTGAATAAATTGGGGCTTTGATGGCAGAAAGCTTCCTAGGATTCTCTCTTTTGTACTGGAAGAATCCTAAAAAGAGTGGATGAAATTACAAGTCTTGTTTGTTTTCAGTTTTTTGTCCAAAACCGGTACAGTCATGGGAAGCTCCCATTGAAATCTCAGGATCAGTCCACCTTCTGGACAAGTGTTTGTACAAACTCACACTTTATAAGGAAGGACAGGTGCACTCTGACAAGAGATGTTTTTGTTTCACTGGTCTTGTAGTGCTACAAATCTCAGATCAAATTCATACTAGAAATTATATTTGTGTTTATTTTCAAATTGCCCCAGAGTATCCTAGGCACTTTACAGAATCATCTAAAAAGACCAAGTCCTTGTCCCAAAGAACTTACAAGCTAATAGCCTGCTTCTGCTTCCATTGACATCAGTGGTACAGGACCAAGCACTAAAACCCTGATCTCTGTGCAGACAGTCCCCTGCACCCACACAAAGCTCATTGCAGGATCAGAGCCAAGGGATGTATCTACACTAATATTTTTCTCCCAACGTTTTCCACCTTTGCAACCAATGTGGCAACTTCACAAGCATAGCATTGATGGAAGTCCTGGTGTAGACATGTCTCCAGGCTCCTGCAGTTTTGTTCATCACTTAACTCATCCAGAGCAGATGTAGAAGACATGAGAATAAAACTGCTGGCACTTTTTCTACACTAGAGCTGCACTGGTTTTAGCAATGGCAGGAAGTTTTAGGGAGAAAAGACTAGTATAGACCAGGCCTAATTTTAGATGCCCTGCAAGAAAAGGATGGCCAGGGAAAGGAGTATGGAAGAGCAATGGTTACAGACATAGGATTACACAGTATATTGCTTCCGCTTGTCATTCAGATAAGATATGTATATGTCCCTTGTCTTGTCTTGGGATATGTCTACAGCAATGGTTCCCAAACTTTAACAACCTGTGAACCCCTTTCACTAAAATGTCAAGTCTCACGAACCCCCTCCTAAAAATGAATATTTCCAGGGATTTTCTCCTTTACCTGAGTATAAATTATAAAAGCAGTGATCTTGGAAATATAAAATTTATTTTTATGACATGCTTATTGCACACTAATATTAATTATTATTTATAATTACATTATTTTTATTACATTATGAAAATGGCAACACTCTTCCAAGATCTCACTTCCGTAGCTTGAATCACTTTGAATAAGTCTGTTATGAGACAAGGCTCCTATGTTTCATCAAGGAGTATCAGATGTGAAACAGTATGAAGGTATTTAAGAAGCCAACTCAAAGAGTTCCTCCTACATAAGCATTCAGGTCTTGTGTAGTCCAGGCAAACAACGCACGTTACAACAAAGCTTAAACATATTCTTCATAATAATTTTAAAAACAATACTAGCTGCCTATTTAATTTTAAAAACAGCAAAAAATATCCACCTCCCTTTCCATTTCTTATAAGGAGTCTTGAAGTTTAAATCTCCTCAGTGTGATAGATATGCTTGCTTTGATCTGCTTAGCTCTTGGAAGTCCAGGGGCTCCAGGCTGCTAGCCCCATGCTGCCCGGGGTCCCTAGGAACCGCTGTGTCCGCCATTAGGGAATTTTTTCCCCGAGAACCCCCTGTAACATTTCGTGAACCCCAGTTTGGTAACCACTGGTCTACAGGGAGGTGTAATTCCCAGCACAGGTAAACATGCACATGATAGCACCTTAAAATAGCAAAGTGGCTTTGGCGGCTCGGGCTGCCACCCTTTTTTGTACCTGGAGGTTGGGCAAGATTGTACTCAGGGCAAGTCTACTTCGGCGCAGCTGCACCGCTGTGGTGAAGACATGCCATGCTGATGGGAGTCAGTGTGATTACGTCACCTCGGTGAGAAGCGTAAGCTCTGTCAGTGGGAGAGTGTCTCCTGCCAACATAGCGCCAGTGGGGAAATTTGTCTCACTGGGGTGTTTCCACACCCATGCACAGTGTAAGTTAGATCAAATTAAGCAGTAGTGTAGACCTGCCCTTAGGCAGCTTGAGCAGAGCTAGCACATGTATGTGTACCCATGCTGGGAATTACACCTTCCAGCTTCTATGTAGACATACCCTGAGTCACAGTCCTTCCCATCAGTGAAGCAGCAGGTATTTAAGGAGCAGCTGTTTTTGGTTAACTTTATTTTAGCAATATCTCTCTAATTGCACTAATCAATTTTTTTAACCTATAAAGTAAAATTTTCTGTAAATTTTAAAGCATAGATTTCTCATCACTGAAAAAATGTGATTGCTTTGTTCCTTTGTCTGATTTGTTTAGCCTATTTGCAAAAAAAAAAAAAATTGCATTATTAAAGTGTGTTAACTGAATTTTGGATGTGCCGGCAACTAATGTGGTAGGGCAGCAAGACAGTAGCAATTAACTGCAGCGATATGCTACATAGCTAGAATACTTAGATATATATGTGTGCCAGAGCAAATCTCCACTACTCCCAATCTTCTGCTGGCCTATGTGAGGGCTGCCCCTTAGATTTTGCCAGGCCTGAGTCCGCGAGCTGCATCTGGCTCCCTGCAGCCACCGTGCTCCGCTATCTCTAAGCTGCATATTGACCTAGTGGAGAATCAGGGCCATGGGGCTATTTGCATTTTTACATGTAGACACATGATTAAACACTTTGCTGAATTAGGCCTTTGGGTTCCAATGCTCTCCACAATCTCTCTAATCACTGGATCCTTGGTGCCCTGATCCTATTGTGAGTAGTTCTAGTCTCTGGTTTGCTGATCCTCGTGTCAGTCATACTCCATCAGCACTGTGAGAGAGGGAGTGTTGCTCTGTTCGACAGGTAGAGAAAAGAATAAAATGTAGCTTGGTAAATTTAGCCAGCGGCTGTTCAGTATTTAATGCTTGAATGTGCTGTAGAAAAAAACTGATTGGAAATAGCCTGGTGTGTTGTCTTAGCTGTGTATTACACTCTTTAGTATGGTCTCCACATACCAATAATGTCGCAATTGCTGAAGTTTTCAGTCACTAATGAAGCTAAAGTATCTCTCACACCATTGGAGCATGGGGTACTGTGTCCAACTGTTGTAACACATTTCCCAAACCTCAGTTAAAAGTAATACAATGACTAACCTTTTGATTTAACAATTTTCTCCTTTGAGTAAATACACTGTTACAGTGTTATCTTATTTCTGAAGTTGTGGCAGTGTTTTCTCAGCTGTGAGAGGGATGTTGAATATTGTACCAATAGGGCACTTTCTTCCCTTCTTATAAAGGTGAGAATATTCTAACCTTCAAAATAGCATTCTCCTCCCTACATGTAACCTTATCCTTTTACATAGGACTAATAGTAGCATAGAAGATAACACTAAATACTAAATGGAGAGTTATTGCACTTAGATACTGGGCTGTTAACGGATAGGTGCCTTGTTCCAAGATGGTGAGTGATTACCAGATAGTTTGGCTCAAAGCTAGACGCCATAGCAGTACTTAATTGTGACTGATTCATTTGGCTGAAATATGTCGCTATTGTAATTCAGCTATTTCATTAATCTGATTGAATGCCATCCAGCCATTAGAGTTGTATGAGAGAAAGGTAGCTGACACATGAGGCAAGAACACTAGCCTCTGCATTAGACTATAAAATAACCATTAGGACAACTAATGCTGAAATTGAATCGCTTCATAGAAATTTAGTTTTCAAGCATAATATTAATTAGCTATAAGCCTGATGAATATCAAGAATTAATTAAAACTTTTCAGTGGCCTATGTGGGTTTTAAATATTATCATTATTGCTCCAGTATTTTTAGTTCTTATGTTAATTGCTTTTTAGAAAGCATGAATGGAATAATCTACAGTAGTGATGTGAGGTACAAACAATTTACTGCAACCTTAAGAACTATTGCTTGGCATCCTCCTACACAGTTTTCACTTTTTTTCTTCTAAAATTTATCTGCAGTTTTTGTTAACTCCTTCGTACATGCAATACAAATCAAAAGGACATGGGTCAAGGTTTACAGGCCCAAATTTTATCCATAGTATTTCTTTTCAACAAAGTTAAAATAATTATAACCTGGAAGCTGTCTACTTTTATTTTTGGTAAAAGGACAATAGCTACAATACCACCAGAGATTATTTTTAAAATTTATTTAAAAATGCTAGCTAGAATTCCTGATTATTTTTGCAATATAAAGAAAAGGCCTCAAACAGACTAATTATTTAATACATAAAACAGTCACTGATTAACAAACATGAATAAGCTATGAATTATAACTGGAAGAGAATTCATAATTAAAATCAGCATTTGTCTGTCTCTTGAATGTCATCTTAAGGCTAAAAAATGCTTCCCTGTTTATGACACAGGATGTGTGGATGCATGATGATAAAGTTCCTCTTCTGCGTATTAAAGCAGGAAAGAAACTGGTTTATAGTAAGACATGAGTGCTCATATTGCCACTTTCTCAAGCTATGATACTCTGCACAGCCATCAGCGTGGATCTCATCCAGAGAGGAATCTGCAAATGTAAAATCAAAACATTACCTTAAATTATGGTTTTGTAGAGGCTTACTTATGTTTTTTTAAATCAGTGCCTGCTTTATGGAGAAATAGTTTTGTTTTGGATATTTGTGAAGGAATCTAGACAGACTCTCACATTTTATAACATCCCAACACTTGGGAAAGTGTTAGCTCATTATTTCATAAACAGTTTTGTAACATTGACATCAATTCAGTTGCTAGAAAATTTGTATAACATGCGCTTTCCTTCCTGAGGAAAATGTCTGTAATATTACCATTTTTAAAATATACAGCATGTAGTAACACAAATATAGAAATATGGGTGTTCCTATTAATTTGGGGGTGCTGTGTTACAATAGATTCAATTCCTTATTTTTTTCCCCATAAGAGAACCTTAAACTTTCCAGGGTAGGGAGTACAAAATTTTACTCTATCTTATCCTAAACAAGTGACAGTAAACATGTAACAGCTCAACACTACTACACTCGTTAATCACACTTTAAGGTACTTTTATAATTTAATTTTATAAATGGTTAATAGATATTACAGACTGGAGTAGTATATTTTACAGTTGGGTATAAGCACATCCATAGAAGGTGTTTATAGATGGCTATAAGCCATGGTTACAAACAATCTGTTCACCGGTTGGAGCCTAACAAGCTCTAAATCAATTAACCACTTATCAAAACATCTATTAATTGTTTATTATATTACCCCTTTATAAACTATTCATAAATGTGCCCTTAATATAAATTGTGACAATTTTTTTCTAATGCCCCAGAGCCAGTGAATGGGTGTGAGGTATAATTTCTTTTTTATATGTATGTTCCATGTAGCTGGAAGGACAGAACACAGAAGCTTACTGCAGCTAAATACTCCAAAACACAAAGATGGGAATTGTGTTTAATACAGTGATAGTCCAATGAATCCACTACATTGCCAAAACATGGAATGGTTAATCCAGTCCATTGCCAGAACATTCAAAAGAAGTAAGGTCCTGATTCAGCTAGGTACCTACGTACAATGCCTAGTTTTAACCAATAATCCCCCACTGAAGTCAATGAGAAGCTTGGTACCTACTGAAGTCATGTAAATGATTGATATTAAACATAACTGGTAAAAAGGTAATCACTACATATGTTATTCACAAAGGTACAATTGATTCTCTCTCTCTCTCTCTTTTTAAATAGTGCTGGCCCTAAAGGAGATAACATTTATGAATGGAGATCAACTATACTTGGACCCCCAGGTTCTGTATATGAAGGAGGTGTTTTTTTCCTGGATATCACATTTTCATCTGATTATCCATTCAAGCCACCAAAGGTAAGGGTAAGGTTTTTATTTATAGTAACCAAGATTTTTTAAAATGACTAGTGATTTTTGGAGAAAGGCCTTGATTTTCAGATGAGTGCTCAGCATTTTCTGAAAATCAGGCCCCTTTAAGATGTCCTAAAAGATGCCCCAAAACCACCTTTGAAAATCTTGGCGAACAATTTCCAGAAATATGTCTGCTTCAGAATTCATACTGTTTTTTTCCAACTTTCCTAGTGATCAATTGAGTGATAATTCTAAAGTAATTGGTCAGGAGTAATAGGTAAGGTGACCAGATGTCCCATTTTTAAAGGGACGATCCCGTTTTGGGGGACTTTTTCTTATATAGGCACCTATTACTCCCCATCCCCTGTCCCCTTTTTTCACAGTTGCTATCTGGTAGCCCTAGTAATAGGTGAAAAACTAATTCCAATAAAAGATATCTTCTCCTTACACATAAGTTTCATAGCAATCAGTAACAAAAAGAAAGGATATTAGAACTAAATAAATTAAACTAAAAAATGTTACATTGTACCTTCTGGTTGGTAAGAATCCTATGATAGTATCCATTATTATAAAATGTCAGTGTTACTGAAACTGATTAGATCTGCCTTTTTGACTGCCACTGCACATTGAAGTGTCTTTTTTATTTATTTATGTATGTTGGTTCCTTGGGGCCCTACAACATAAAGAATAATGCATTCTCAGACTTCCCGAAAAGCACAAAACACAAACCATAACGTTCTTTGGTGTAAGTTTGTATTCATGGAATGATGAAGAGTTTTTGCAGAATATTTCTAATTCCACATCAAGATTATACTATTGTGTGAGTTGGGTGAGTTTCATCAAACATTCAGCTGTCTCCCAAAGTACAGTAAAATGAAAATGGATGTTTTACTCATCTCTGCCATAAACTGTGCCTTCTGCAACTAATGCATTGAAATATTTCTCACTCATTTTGTTTATGCACAGAAACCATTTTCATACTATACAAATATTAATCTGAAATCAATTAAAACAGAAGGATGATGGCACTTACTGCAGTAGAAATGTGTTATAAGTATAGTAATTCCTGCCTAACAGGGATGTGATGATGATTTAGTATGTAAAATGCTTTGAAGATGACAATAGCTATACATTCCCTAAAAAGCAATATTTAAATGGATACTAGGGTTGCACAGTTAGGTACAGAAAAGTAAGGAAAAGATAAAGCTAAGATTACACATGCAAGCCAAACCCTGTCCATTTTTTCATATGTATGCATTGCAATAAATTGTAATATAGTCTTGCTCATGATCATACTGTTACTCAAACACAATATAACATTTATACTGAATACACGCTGCATTTGTAGTACTATGTATGACTCTGTGTGCATGCCAAAGAGTCTGTATAAAAGTGATTTACCTACCGAATGTGCAGTGAATGAGGCCAAGACTCCTGCAGAGTTACAATGAATGAAGCAAAATGTGCACTTTTTTAATAAAGTGCATTTTACAAAATATGCAGTGAACGAGAAAGGTCTTTGCAGAAGTTCTGCTCCATTCAGAGTGCATCCTTCAAAACTTCTGCTACCAAAAGCTAGGGACAGGCTATTCATAGATAACATTTAATGATTTTTGTCTGTAACTTTAGGTTACTTTCCGTACCAGAATCTATCACTGCAACATCAACAGTCAGGGAGTCATCTGTCTGGATATTCTGAAAGACAACTGGAGCCCTGCTTTGACTATTTCAAAAGTTTTGCTGTCTATTTGTTCTCTCTTGACAGACTGCAATCCTGGTAAGCAAATTCTAATTTACCAAGCATGAACTCTTGCTCATTTGCTGCAAAAATGATTCAGTAGATGATTCTCTACAGAATAATTCTGTCATTCTCAAAATAGATGTTTGAGATTAGAGATTAAAACCCCTTGTTTTATTTAAATCCATCTAAACGTGTATTGTGGCAAGATTGCTCCCTGTAATATATTTTCTAGCCTTTGCATAGCCAAAGCCAAGATCTGCACATCAGTCCTTAGCTCTCATATGTCTCTCTTCACTCATCCATCTTTAAGGAGGGTAAATAGCATTATCCCGTTTTGCAGAAGGACGAAACGGGGATACAGAGAGTTGACATGACTTGCCCAATAGTACACGGCAGGTTAGTGGACAATCCAGAAACAGAACCCAGATCTCCTGACTCCCTGTCCATTGCCTTAACCACTTGACCATTATATGAAAAACACCTTCCTGTTCAGCCTCCTTAAATATATTTTTTGGGGAGGGGAGGGGAGGGGAAGAGAATACAAACTGGAAGGAATAGGGGCCAATACTTTTAAATCAATGGATTTATTCTGGGTTTACACTAGGTTAAATGGGAGCAGGATTTGGTCAAGGGTTTTATCATGAAAGAGCCTTGAATTCGTTAATATACACAACACTATGCATCCAGCACTTTGCATTCATAAAAATGTTGTAAATTAGCACATACCGTTACTCTATGAAATATCCAATTTTTCATGTTTGTTCATTCGAAGCTACACTCTGTTTTCAAATAAAGGAAGGGGGAAAGCAAAGAAGGTAAAATGTTAATGGTGTATCCTATCCCTGTAAACAAACAACATTTCAGCTCCCCTGCTTTTCCTTCTCTTTTATTTCAAGTTGTTAAAGGGGTTGAGTTGGGAATGAGTTGACCAGGGAGCCAGAGCTCAAATTGAATGAGACTGGGGGAGAGCGCTTCCCCTGGTGCTGGGGCCTGGATACCTGCGCCTCGCTGCATGCATTTGTTTTTTGCAGTGTAGACATACTCTATGAGGGACCAATCAGGAGAATGGGCTTCCAGTTGAGGCAGTAGAGTCTGGTGCGACTGTATGAAAATGTAGATGACTCTGTGGTATTTAATAAGCTTGGAAGTAACCAGCTGCTCTTTTAAGGGTGTCATGAGGAAATCTTTCAGACCATGCTTTTGTCACCTCTGACTGGTGATGTGTTAATCTGTACAGGAGCAGTTTGGCCTCCTGTGGCATGTGAAGTTTTTTTTTTTTTAGTTTAACATTTTAAAAGTGTGAAAATATTCTATATACATTGCATAATATCAAGCAGTTCCAGACACAAATGGCTCATGGGTTGCTTCTAGTTTTACACAACTCCTAGCCTGTAGCTGTTGTTCAGACAGTCAGCTAAAATGAAAAGCTATAACATTTTAACACAGATGTCTGTCTCTCTTTTAAATAAACTAAATGTTGGAGCCTGCAGATAATCAAAACAGATTAAAATCCTTCCTATTCATTCTGCTTTGGGTGTTTGTTCTTGAAAATGTCTTATGTGTCAAGCCCTCTGCTACAAAGCCTAGCATTTTCTGGCCTAACAAAGAGAGTATATTGGGAAGCAAGTAATTTTTTTAATGTTTCCTTTTTTTAATAGAATGATTTCTGATGCTGTTTTTCTTCCCTATCTTCCTCTCCTTTTACCCCCAAACCATTACAGCTGATCCTCTGGTCGGAAGCATAGCCACTCAGTACCTGACCAACAGAGCAGAACATGACAGGATAGCCAGACAGTGGACCAAGAGATATGCAACATAAATGACAAACTACTTGTGCTCTGTGAGGGTGCAGGAGGCAACTTTACAGTGTGCAACAAATCTTTATAGCCTTTACAATACGGACTTCTGTGTATATGTTATACTGATTCTACTCTCTGCTT